GGGGCGGCGATGATGGCGGCGGCGGCGCGGGCGCCCTGCGGCCGCTCTACATGGACGTGCAGGCCACGACGCCGCTGGTGCGGCCCGGCCCGGGGCGGGGGGCGGCTGCTGCTGTCGGGTTGATCGGTTCCGGTCGGCGCGGATCAGCGGCGGTTCCCGCCGGGCGGGGAGGGGGGCGGACACCCGGTCCCTGTAGAGGTGCTGGGGCGGGGTGTAAGTGACGGCGTGTCCGTGGGCTCCGCGCCGCGCCCCACGCGCCGCCTGTGCCGCAGGACCCGCGCGTGCTGGACCGCATGCTGCCCTTCCTGACGGCGCGCTTCGGCAACCCGCACTCGCGCACGCACCGCTACGGCTGGGAGAGCGAGGCCGCCGTGGAGGCCGCGCGGCGGGTGAGTGTGCGCCGGGACACGGACACGGCGCCCGGGACACGGGACACGGACACGGGACACGGGACACGGACACGGCGCCACCGGGTGACGCGGGCGCCGCTTCTCTCCCGCACAGCAAGTCGCAGCGCTGGTCGGAGCCGATCCCAGGGAAATCATCTTCACGAGCGGCGCTACGGAGTCCAACAACATGGCCATCAAGGTGAAGGGCTGCGCGCGGGGCGGCCGGCGCGGGACACGCGGGGGCCTGGCGTTGGAAATGACACTCGTAGAAAACACAGGCACCTTTCAGCAGTTGAAGCATGAATTTGTGGTCCCAGCCAGCCGGGTTTGTTCCCTTGTTAGTTGCCATATTCTGCGACACAGATGGAAGAGGCATTGGGCTCTCGCGCCCTGTTGGGCTCCCGTTCGAGGGCAGGGTGCAGTATTTGAGGGTTCCTTTTCTTCTCAAACCGAGCCCGTGTGGTTCGAGCTGTTCCTTGGGGAAACATCCCGGCCTCTGCCGCTGTTCCCAGTGTTTCGTGAAACCTTTTGGGCTGGCGCTTTTCCGCTGTGGTGCTCGTTTAGAGATGCTAGGAGTTTTATTGTCGGATCCGAGCAAAGTTAGTCCGTGGTATGTTCGGAGTTTTGTTGTTTTCATTCCAGCTGGGGAAGAATGGGTATGGATACGGCTGTCCTGCCTCCACAGATACAATATCTTTCTTGGAGTGTGGCGGAGATACTGGCGTGGCTATCAACCCATTTTCTGGCAAACACTAGTTGCTGTTTTATCCTTTATCCTCAATGAGGCCATTCAGATTTCTCATCTCCTATGACTTCAAAAGCTTTAAAAAAAAATCCTTTGATTTAAAAAAAAAAAGGTTTAGAATTTATATCTAACAATATTTGTATAGGCTTTTTAAAAGATGAGATGCTTTGGAAAAACGAGTCCTGATGCAAGTATCTAGTGTGAATGACGTGTTACTGCTGCCCTTTAGATTCATGAGTTTGGGGTAAACAGAGGTGGTTGAAATTGTATAATGGTCATTTTATGGCAAAACTGATTAATTTATTGGAAAGGAAAATTGTTTTTCATCTGAGTCAGAGTTACCTTCTTGCTTCCCCTGAGTAAACCTGCAGTGCTGCAGAGGGGACTATCGCTAATTCTCCTTTGCGATGCATTAGCTGTTTCTGCCCACACTTTGCACAGTCCCTCGTTTGTGAGGATTTTGTGTGAAGTTTGCTCTCTTCAGCCATGTAACTGCAAACTTCTTGTTGCTGGACTGTGCACGACAGGGTGTTGCAAGATTCTATAAGTCCAGAAAGAAGCACATCGTTACCACCCAAACAGAGCACAAGTGCGTGTTGGATTCCTGCCGTTCCCTGGAGTCGGAAGGTTTTCAGGTCACGTATCTCCCCGTTAAAAAGAACGGCCTCGTGGATTTGAAGGTAGGTTCCTGCCGCCGGGAAGCTCGTGAACAGGGGCTGTCCAGGTGGGCAGGGTGAGCAGAGGGTCCTCTTGCTTTATGCCTCAAGATGGGGTTTCGGGGGACCTCGTGTCCAGGAAAGGATGGTGAGTGTCACATCGCAAGATACAAGGAGATTAGCTGTCAAATCAGACACAGTTGGAGAAGGACTTTTCTCCTCCCTGGGCTCCTCTGCCCTCCTGAGTGGTGGCACCGATAGCACTTGGAGATACCCTTGGGATGTTGCGCTCCATGTGGGAAGGCCGGCGGAGCGGCGCTGGAGGTGCCAGTGCGCAGCGCCGTGGGGATGCCGGCGCGGCGGTCACAATCCGCCCGGCTGCCGTGGGCTGGCCGCCGGCCGCCGCGTGCCCTGCACGGCCGCCCCGTGTCCCGCGGCGCCCCGCCGCGGCGCCCCGCTCCTTCCCGGCCGCGCGTCCCGCTGGGGTGGGCCGCTGCTTGCGGGACCGGTCAGACGGATCGCGCCTGCAGGCCCAGAACCGTTAATGATGCTCTCGGAGAACTTGGTTGGCAAAATCCTGCTTCTCAGATTTAGCAAAATTCCTTTATAAGCCACGCTTTATTTGTCTTATTTTTGTCGTGATGTGAGTTAAGCTGTTTTATGAGTGTTCAGTTTGTTTTAAAAAGTTCTCATGATGTGAGGATAAGGCATCTAGCCTGTAATGACTTGATCACATCAGGTAGTGTTGCACATATCAGTGCTAGCACGTGTAGAAATGCAGTTGCCTGTCCTCCTCTCCCTGCAGAATTATATAGTTAGTGCTGTCGTGAGCAGCATTTGTTAGAAAGCAACGATTTTGTTGGAAACATGATGGCTGGGGGAACTGATGGTTAAGGTTGGCCTTGACACACTGAAGCGATGCCTCGGGAATGCTTGAGCTTCGGCTTTGTGTGACCTGTGTCTGCTTGAACATTTCACCAGGAGTTGGAGGCTGCTCTCCGGCCAGATACAAGTTTGGTTTCTGTCATGACTGTGAATAATGAAATAGGAGTGAAGCAGCCCGTTCACGAAATTGGTAAGTAACACTGGCTTCCACAGGCAAAGCTACCTCGCTTCTGCTTCGTTTAATGTAATGCTTCCCAGAGCAAGTGTTAGAGGGCTGCCCTGGGATATGATTAAGCTGGTAATGGTGCTCTCTCAAATAAACCTTTCTTAAAAGGGAAGTGAGTGCAGCACTCAGTATTTTCACAGTGGATATTGTAGGAATTCCATATGGAAATACAGATTAGCTGTATTGTTTTCAGTTTCACTCTGAATTTTTCAACAGGAAGGGAAAGAGCAGCCAGTCAGACTGCAGTTATATCTGATCAGGGTTTACTGAGCAGGTGGTGTCGGAGAGGAGAAACCTGCAGAACTCGGGGAGGAGGAGGGCAGCAGGTGCTGGGATGCGCTGAGGCTGCCCCGCGCGGGCTGGACCGGCGGCTGGGAGGCCCCCGGGCACCCGCGCTCCCGGAGAGCCGGCTCCGTGGCGGGCACGGAGGGGCGTCTCCGCGGCGGGTACAGAGAGCCGGCTCCGCAGTGGGCTGCCCGGCTCCTGGGCGGGCATGGATAGCCGCTCCGCGGGCACAGGGCAGGCGCCGGAGCCCTGCGGCCCCGCGGATGCCGCAGCAGCAGTTTCTGCAGCGACGACATCATCTGCAGCGACCCTGTCCCTCCAGGATGGCCCTTTGCGGGGTGTTTAAGTTTCTGGACAGTTTTCAGGCTTTGGCCTCTGCCCTGAACTATGCACCAGGTAATCCTGGAGGGTGTTATTTTTGCAGGTGTCTCAGCCTCTTGCAGAGCTCCTTTTTTTCTCATGATTAGCTGCTTTCTGCTTTTCTTTATTTTGCCCAAAGCAGTCTTTTTCCTGTCTTCACGGTTATGTTTTTTCAGTTGAATGGTAATTGATTATCAGTAAGTTGCTTATAGCTCTGGAGTGTCTGCTTTCAACCTGTGTTGATTAGTCTTGAGGCTGTTGCTGTTATCATACCGTGCTTAAATGAATAAGAAATATCCTTTTAATGTTCCTATAATGTGAAAGAGAAATAAGGTGAAAGAATAAAGAACATTTACGCTCCAACACCACCAACACTAACTACATTATTTTGTCTTGTGGTGCCTTTTAACTCTTTTTAAAACTTTTATAGAAGTCATAAAAGTTTGTTAAACTTTTAATGCAAAGAAGTTGATAATGGGCTAAAGTCACTTTGGGTGGGAGGAATTGGCATGTGTAAGAATTGGTGATAATGCTCCCTGAGAGAATTTTTGGATCCAGGTACTGAAAAACCTGGAAATTGAGGGAAAAAAAGGTCCAAAAATGCTTGGCAAGTGTAAACATGAAAGTAAGACTGGCAAATACTAGACCAGTGTCAAGAAGAAAGAGTCAAGAAAAAAAGAACGTTAATATTTCCCAGCTGTGGAGTCATCTGCCATGAGGGAGCAGGGATGCCCATTTCTGACATTTAAACTTAAACAGGGCCATGTCATGGTAGATGTGGATTTGGAAACCGTCCTGATTTTTGCCAGCAGGCTTCTTACCTCCTCTAGACATTGTAGGCAGAGTAGCTCCTGCGCAGCTCTCAGATGTGCTGTGAAAGGGATGTGACAAGACGCCTTTCTTCCTTTTTCACCTCAGATCTCCTCTGCGCCACCAAATGATGCTTTAGATTCATTGTTGGAAGTGCATAGCCATGGTATGAGGTAACGAGAGCTTTTTTCTTTTTTTTTCTTTATATTTTTATCACAGGTGAGATCTGCCGTGCTCATAAGGTTTTCTTCCACACAGATGCCGCACAGGCAATTGGTAAAATTCCTGTGGATGTCAATGATATGAAAATTGATCTAATGAGCATCAGTGGCCATAAAGTTTATGGGCCTAAAGGTATTTATTGAAGTGCTTTTCTAAAGAGTTTTTTCCATGCCTGTCATAAGAAGCTAATTCCACAAGGTATAAAGTCTGACCTATCACAGTGATTGCTACTATTTCTTAAATTGTAGAACATGATTTTATTAGTGGTAGGAGTAGATCTTTTTTTTTTTTTTAAAATCAGTTCATTAGTTCACCCTGATACTAGGGTAAGTGGACAGTGGATCTTCAGTGCTTATGGGCTGGGAGGTGGCTTCACTAAGTAAAGAAGTAGCATCTTAAAACTGTGGCAGCAGAAATGGATCGGCAGGAGGATGGCATCATGGATGCTCCTGAACTTGAAAGGAAATCATGGGGCAAAGTTTAGGTCCAAGTATGGCTGACAGCAGGGAGTTCTAGAAGTAACTGGAGAATTTAAATTCTTAGGGGTTTTGCTCATCCTCTGCATAAAGCAGCCTCTCTTCTATCCTCATATCTCCTTTTACACCTTTTCTGCAGAATGGAATTTAAAATCCAGCTATGGGTTTTGTAGTCTGCTCCCAAACAGCAGAAGTTGTAAACCTGGGTTGCAGGAAGACAGAATTCAAATTTGCTGTATTTGGGTGCTCTTCAGAAGCCAAAGGCAGAAGACTGTTTGTCGTCGGGTGCTGTCTTTGTGGGTGTGTGGGGGCTCCGCGGAGGGCTGCAGCCCTGGCCGTCGAGGGCACGAGCGATGGGAGCGAGTGCCGTTCTCTGGAGGAGCGCGTCCCTGGCCGAGCTGCCGCTGCGGATGCGCTGCGCGCGTCCAGCTGCTGCCGTTGCTTTGCAGGGGTCGGTGCGATCTACGTCCGGCGCCGGCCGCGCGTTCGGCTGGAGCCCTTGCAGAGCGGCGGCGGGCAGGAGCGAGGGCTGCGCTCCGGCACGGTGCCCACCCCGCTGGCCGTGGGGCTGGGGGCAGCCTGCGAAGTGGCACAGCAGGAGATGGAGGTTTGTGGGAGACCTGCTCCGTGTCCCCGAGGACAGTAAGGCAGAGACACCTTTGTCTTTAATCCCCCGGATTTCTTTGTGCTTGGGCGCTGGATTAAATTTTATTCTCTTGTGACGATTAAGGGAATGTGTTGAGATCTTCAGAATACACGTTTCTGTGTATAACGGGAAGCTCATTGTCAGCCTTTTCTTAATTTTTTTCTTTGTTGAAGTGCTTTAAATTGTGGTTTTCTACAGCACATTTACAGCTGAAAATTTTTATGATGTACTCATCTCTCCATGCTGTACCTATCCTTTATCAGCATCTCTGACCCTGAATTAATCATGCTTATGTGTATTAAAACAGTGAGCATTTCAAATTCATATTTCAACGTATGGAAGTTCGAGTTTATGGCAGTTCTGCAAATAAGAATTTCACTTTAAGCTTAGATAGCAAAGTTTATTTGCTAGGTCCAGTGCTTAAAACTCTTCCTGACTCCTCTGCATGCTGCTATGTCGCTTTCTGTGCACTAATGCATTCTTCACAATCGGGATGGAGAAAAAAAAAAACCCTTTTAGAACACTGCCAGCAGGGCATAGGCCAGGGCAGCTGTGCACACAGAATGAAGCTTGTTCCCCAGGCAGGCGAGACTCATCTTGTGAGCTGCGCCGTTACGGAAGCTTCGCTGGAGGTCGGGCATGGCCACCACTTAGGTTTTTGTTCTTTTGTTCTCTTTGCTAGTATGACCATAAGCACATCTCGCTTCTGGCAGATCGACTGGTTACAAAAATCATGAGCCAAGTTCCTGATGTGGTTATGAATGGGGATAGAGAGCATCGCTATCCAGGTAACGTCAGCAAAATCCTCCCCTGAGAGCTCTCCACCGCTCAGCGTTAGCTGCCCTGCCTGAATAACGTGTTTTGAATAAACGTTGTGCTGCTCTGTATTCACAGATTCCTTCCAAGTGGGGAAATAGGAGGGATGGGATTTGCTGTAGATTACAGTTGTTGGGAGCATGTTTGTTGTGGTATTTGTTGGTTTGTTTGTTTTCTTTCAATATAGGGTGCGTCAATTTATCTTTTGCCTATGTGGAAGGGGAGAGTCTTCTGATGGCTCTGAAAGATGTGGCTCTCTCTTCAGGAAGGTAGGTGCAATATATGGGGAGACAGACTGCTATAATCTGGGGAGAAGACATTTGCTAATAGAGCTGCAAGCCAAGTAGTGCTCTCCGCTGTGCCCTTGGTTTGCTCTTTTGGTTGATGAGCCAGCCTGACATTGAATGCAGCCTGAGCTGATGTTTCTCTAAAGCGACACCCTGACAATGAAGGTCACGTCCGCTCAGCTTGAAAGCACAAACTGGGAATTGCTGCCTGCCAGCTTCGCAGCTGCGTGTGATCTGAGTAGCCGTAACTCATGGCACTTCCACTGAAAATGCCATTTGAGCTTCTACAGCTTCTGTCCTTCAGAAGGACTCAGATGGATCATAACTGGATCTAGTGAGGCCGGACAGATAACTCAGTGAATAGTACCTATATGCGATGCAGAAGAAGAAAGAAAAATCAGTGTGTTCTCCGGGAGCTGTGTTGACTCTGCAGATTGGAGCTGGCCTGTTACTCAGGCCAACTTGATGCTTACAAGGAAGAAGCTGATAAAACCTTTCTTTGCCTTTCTGAGTGAAGCAGATTGAAATAGTATCTTGATTACCAATGTGCTGGTGGTATAAACAGGAAGAACAGGTCTCTACTTGGCAGTCACCAAAGCCCAGCACTTTTGTAATTTGAAAGTCTCTTTGGTGCTCAGGTTCTGCTTTGTGCACATCCCTAAGCAGCTCTCTGGTCTGTGTTGCGTGTTGCCACCTGTAAAAATTGAGTAACAGCCTGCAACCACGCAGCCAGTTTTCTCTAGTGCTTTAAGAGGAAAGTTCCTGCCTACTGACTGCTCTGACTAAACCTTGCTCTGGATTCCTCAGTGCTCTATTTCCCATTGATTTATACTGCTGCCAAAGGGCAGCTCTAGAAGGGAGGGTGGGGGATGTTTTTGCTTGTTTGTTTTTTAATTGTGTCCGCTGGTATTCTTTGGTTAATTCTTTCTTGGCTCTTTGACTTCTTTCCCCATCCTTCATTTCAGATGCCTCTTACTCTGCCTTACACTTCCTGTGTTTGGCCTTGCATTTGCTCTTATTGTATTACCTGTGTTCTCTCTTTTATCATGTTCCCAATTTATTGTTCCCATTCCTATCTAATCCCTGCCTCTGCCATTGCTCTTTTGTAACAGCAGAAATGCTGCCTGCGTCTTGCTCCCTCCGTCTCCTGTTCACTGCCTGTTTCGCAGAGGCTGGGAGCTGCTGCGAGCTCTTGTGAAGAGCCGTGATGATACTGGGTGTCTGGAAGGGGCCTCTTCTTTCTTGGAGAGCACTGGAGGGTGGAGCGTTACTTCAGTGGAGCTTTTGCACGTGAACAAAAGTGTGAGATTTACTTTTGCTCCGTTTCCTAGTGCTTGTACATCTGCCTCTCTGGAGCCTTCCTATGTTTTACGGGCAATTGGGACGGATGAAGACTTGGCTCACTCATCCATAAGGTGTGTGCAGCGTTTTTTTTTATTGCTGTTTCTTTTTTTATGCTGAAAGTAGGTGGTGAGCTTCCACCCCTACAGGTGCGCGATACTCGTGCCCTTAACATTGTGTGGGGAAGAACAGGAGGGGAGCATAGGGGAATGCTGTGTTGCTCTTTTGGGTGTATTATTGTTTGTTTGTTTCAGGTTTGGCATTGGTCGTTTCACCACAGAAGAAGAAGTAGATTATACAGTGCAGAAGTGCATACAGCACGTTAAGAGGCTGAGGGAAATGAGGTGAGCCAGCTTATTGAACTGAAAATAGGTGTGATAATCTTCGAGGAGTTAGATTGTTTTCAAAACAGGTTGCTTTAAAAATCTGTTGGTCTCTCTGTATATAAATGTATAGTAATGACAGAGTATGTGGCCTGATTTAAACAGTAGTGAAAATCCTTTAAGCACATCCACCTGATAACAAAGCTTCTCCCAGATCCCACCTTTATCAAGAGAAGAACATAAGGACAGGGAAAGTGTGTACGGAAGCTACCTTGAGGTTTCCAAGCTGGAGGTGGTATCATTTTGTGGACGGATCAATAAGTTACTTAATTTTGCCAAAAATGGAAGATTCAATTCAGCAGTGTCAAATGCAAGGGCTTGGTCTGTAAGAAACACTTGTGCTCAGTGCCCCAACTGGGAGCAGAGGATCAGATGGGGCACCTACCCCTCACCCCTGTGCTTTGGGCTGAAGGTCCTGGTGGAGGCTGATCATCTACAGAAGGGGAAGGTCTCTCTCGTCCTGCCATGCTCTTCTCCCTGTATTTAATGAAATTGCTTTTTTGAGAATTCTTGTTGATGTTGTTGTTTTTAGCATTCAAAATGGCCCTCATTTTTTTTTCTCTCTTTTCTTTACAGTCCACTGTGGGAAATGGTTCAGGATGGAATTGACCTCAAAAGCATTAAATGGACTCAGCATTGAGAAAACAGCTTAGCGCTAACCATGGACTAGATGGATGTGGGTTAAAATGCATTCTGTGTACATTCCTGAACATGTATTTCATTCATGCTGTGCTTTTGTTTTGTTTTCGAATTTTCAATTTGACTGGAATACTGCCCTTTCTCTTAGCAAAGTCTTAAGAAATCAAAAGTGAAACTAGCTTTTATGCTGGAGAAAAGCAAGTTCCTATAATGCTCATTGCATTTATATTTCCACATAGAAATTTATGCTGACACAGGATTTATTTGGAAAAAAAATGTATTTTCTAATGTGAAAATGAGACTAGCACGTTACTGCCTGTGTCAGCAGTATCTTGTCAGAGGAGAACATCCTTGATATATGATTTGTTTGCAGCAAAGCCCTATTGCCAGACCTCCAGTTCCTTTAACTTTTGGCTGAGGCAAGCATCTGTGCAATGGCAGCCTTTTTTTTGTGCAGTTTGAATGTGTTGTCAGAAGTTCTCATGGAGGTGGCAGTTCAGCATTCCTAGAGGAAAGGGATGCCTCAGTTTGGCCATAAGCTTTTACAGTTAAGGTGTACATGCATTTAAGCATAATTGCCCCCCCCCCACCACCACCTCTAAACTCAAGATTTCTTCCTCTTCCTTGGTTTTATCTCCTTTTTTCCTTTTTCTCCTGATGCTCGTACAGACCAATATGCGTTAATGCAAAACATCCTTCGCTTTACAGAATTGACAAAACACTTTGCTGTTTGCTGCATTGTGTTTTTCACTGCATTTTTTTGTCTCAAATCTGAATTTTTCAAAGAGAACTTGAATGACCGAGGGAGGGTGATAGGTAGACAGCTTCAGCTGCAGTACCCGTTTTAGCTGGAACAAAGTGATAAGCATGGCAAAAAGCAGATAAACTGCAGTGTCCTAATGGTCCGTGGTTTCAGTTTCTTCCCTTGCGATGAGTCCTTTGCCATTACTGAGACTTTGCCTATTGGAATCTGGTTACATTAGGGAGCCTGTTGCTTTTCCCCTGTATTTTTGGTTGAGCCTGGATGATCCGGCTTCAAGTAAGGATATGGGCACTGGAGTCTTTTTCTTTGCACGTCAGGCTTTACTTCTGTCTAGTTAGAGACTTCTGTGGGCATCCATTGCACCCAAATGCTGGGGAAAGTGTGTCTCTTGAAATTGATTTGATGACATGAATTTGTGTCGGTGTTTCTTCTTTGTTGACCTTTCTATCAAGTGCCTTTGTACCAGCTGCATAAGCAGACTGCTCTCAAAGCAGCTTGCTGATTGCTGGATGCTGTGTTAGACACTGAATTTAAGGTACCCTGTAAAGAGTGCGTGTTTTTAGTTCTGGATGGTACCTACCTCGAGGATTAAACTTGGAATATGATAGTTGAAGCTAAATCTCACAAGGTGGATTGCATTACAGAACTTGTGGGGAGTTTTGTTTTGGTTTGGTTTTGGTTACCAAGAACAAATTTGTTTGTTTGCAATGCAGAGCTAATCTTGAAAGGCTCTCTCTGAAATTGATTACTGGCTTCAGCAGTTTTAATATTGTAGGACTGGCACCTTATACTACTTCATCACAATTCCTGATGCAAAACTAGATTTTAGAGGTGTTGTGTGTACAACATTTCCTCTTTGGGCCATAAATGTTCTGTGGCTTAAGCATAATATAACAGCACTTTCACAGCATGTTCTAGAACCTTATTTTTATGAAATTGTTCTTTGTGTTTTCTGATCAATAAAAATACAGATAAGACAAACTTGGTTGCTTTCAGTCTTTGATAACCATTAACTTGGAGGAAAAACAATATAAATATACAGGGTACAAATTATTTGGTGGGGATCCACCTTTCTGGCTGAACTATGTGGCATGATCAGTTAAGTTGCAGTCTTTCACTAAAGAACATAGAAAGATAAATGCCTGAGTCTCATGTACTGAGATTTAAAATGTAAGTGGTCAATGAAAAGATTTAGCCATCTCGTTCCCACTGTTAACAATTCTAGCACACTATTAACTTCACCACCATGAGAGAAAGAAGAAATACCAAGGGTTAATTTCCATTTGTAGAGCTCGGAATGCAGTTAAAGATTTTTCTACTAGGAAATAATTTATTTGGGAGGGAGATACATATCACGGAAATCGCCTATAAATCAGGTGAGGGAGCTGTTTTTTGAGTTGGTAATTAATTAAGTGCAGAGCATTACATTAATAATGAGATGAAGATGCAGGAAGGTGAGGATTTAATGTCACCATTCCGCAAATGTCATAGAAATTGAGCCAGTGTTCCAGATGCTACTGGAAAAAAAAAGTGTTCTGTTTGTGTGAGATGGTTAGGTAATATGCAAGGGGAACAAAAATTCTCCCTAAGGGATGTTGGTACAACTAAAAGCTGATAGAACGTACCAACAAAACAACTTTTTTATTTCCTTTAGGAAGGATAATGTGGAATTAGCTACTTTTTCTTGGTATGAGGAGGCTGAGGAAGAGGCTCAGCTTACAGATGCGTTGAAGGTGTCAAACAGCACGTGATACATTGCTGTTAGTGGCCTTAACAATGATAAGGTAACATGAAAGTTTTTGTGCCTTATTTTGTATGTTATTGATTGGACAACTGTTCAGTGTTTGTCCGGGATGACTTCAGTCATGATCCAGCTGTGTTCAGTCAAGGTGTTTCTAGTCACGATACACTTCTAGTCACCTTGCACTTTGAAAAGGCAAAACTTCCCAAAGCTTACTCCAGAGGAGCTGTTGAAGAGATCTCTTCTTCAGTTACGACAGTTCCACTTAAATTTTGGAATGGTAAATCATTCTAGACCAGAAGAAAGCAAATACCAGCTTTTTAAAGTAACAACCTGAATACTTGGGAGAATTGAACACTTGTGACTGCTGAACACTCTGACTGCTGGTTCCTCATGGTCATCCAAGACTATAAAAAGCACTAGTCCAGGATCCTGTTACAAGAAGTAAGATTCATGCTCGGGAACAATCCAAGTGGTTTTGTGCTAAGCATGCCTAGTTAAGGCAACAAGGCATTTGAGTTGGCAAGGTATGATGTTCCGGTTTTGATGAGGAAACTATGCCATATCAACAAGGCATGTATTTAAAACAAGCCCTAAGTGGATTGATGTTTTTTAAGTGTAATTGAGAATGAGGGATGAAATGGAAGAGTATTTTGGGAAATATTTTCTAGGAATTATTAAACATTTTTATGAAGGATGTGGAAGCATTCCTTACAGTCAGTACAAACATAGCCTAGTGAGGCCTAGGGAGTTCTGGGTTTTTTTTGCTGATCTACACAAAAAATGTCACCAGTGCCCTGAAAGAAGTCTCTCAACTGGGCTTAATTTGGCAACAAAAAGCAATTATGGTATATACATGCAACACAAAATTCCTGGGGAAAGGGCTTATTAAGGGCTGTGGTTGCACAAAACGAGGCCAATGCATGTGCTCTTACAGCCCATCCCCACCTACCTTCAGCAAGCAGGTCTTTCCAAGCAGGATCCACGCAGGCACCACGAACTTGCTGTCGATACCGTCACTTGGCTTCAGTCACTGGCTCCCATAGTCTGGGTTGAGGCGTGTGTGCAGACAGCTCGTCCTGCCTTGTGCCAGCTAATGAGACAAGAAAGCAAATTTCAGGATGCTGCATATGAAAAAGAGGAGTTCTGTATGTACAGATGGCCCATGGTGACCTGGGGTACAGCCAACAAGAACAAAAGGAGGCAGCGATATCAGTCAGAATTGATAAATTGTCAAGGCAACCTTAGCACAAACACGAAGAAAAGAGGGGCTAAAGTCAGTAAGGCCTGTGCTTGTGAGGAAAAAGCAAACAGGAGCAGGCTGTTTAGGAGAAGGGATGAGGGAAAATTCAGGATGAGAAAGAGAGGGGGAAAAGGGAGAGAAATCACGGGGCTGCAGTCACTGGGATGGGCTGCCCAGTGCCTGAAGACGGGGTCAGAGCAGCTCCCTCGTGTGGCTGGCCACACTTTTTTGTTAAATAAGGAGAAAAATAACCAAACTATCCAGATTGGAGTGCCAAATTCATCGGTGTAGAGATACAGGCTTTTTTTTTTTTTTTTTTTTTTTTTTTTTTTTTTTTTCCTCTTCCCAAAAGGAAAACCAAGCTGCTAAGCTGCTGCAGGACAGGTATCTCCCCTGACAGAAACTCCCTGTATTTCTTTGCTTGCTTGGAGGGCACTCATGGCACTGTTTGTCTGGGCATTTGTATTCTAAGTCTATGTAAGCAAGCAAGGGGGAAATACTGGACTGCAAGCGACACCAGGTGTGATCCACTGTAATCCGTTTCTAACTGCGCATCCTGCTCAAAGCCTGCCCAAAGTCTTCCCCGGACTCTTCAATGAGAAGAGGAACCTGATGTTTCCTGCTGAGTTCCTGTTTCCTCAGCAATTACTCCGACAGACACCGTTTTCGTGCAATTATTTTGGAGAAAACGTTTCGCAGTAGCACTATGTTACTGCTGTGCTAGACATAACAATGCCAGTCTTCTCACTGGCCTAAATTCGACGATGCTCTTTTCAGCGCCTTCTCAGTACGTAAGGAAGCAGAGAAGGCTTTTGGATTATTTTGTTTATTTATTCAAAAGACATCTCGCCAGGCGTTACCTGAGGGAACGCTCCCCCCCCGCGGCGCGGCCGCACGGAGCATGCGCGGGGAGGGCGGGGCGGGCAGGAGGGAGGGGTGCTGACGCACGGAGCATGCGCAGGGAGGGCGGGGGAGGGTGCTGACGGACGAAGCATGCGCGGGGCGGGCAGGGGGCGCGGCCTCACGGAGCATGCGCGAGGGGTGAGTGGCAGGGGGCGCTGCGCGCGCAGCAAAGCCCCGCCCCCCGCGCCGCCGGGTCCGTCCCGCCCGCCCCGCCCCCTCCCTCGCGGCGCTGGCCGCGCCGCAGCCGCCGCCGCCATTTTGTGGCGCTGCGCGGTCGGTGGCGCTGGGCTCGGCGCGCGGAGCGGGGCCCGGGCGGCGCTTTCGCTCCCTTCTAGGCCCCTTTTCCCGTGCAGAGCCCTCGGTAAGAGCGCGGCAGCGC